ACATAGACTTAGGAACATAAATAAATTCATAGTTCTAAGTCTAACTATAGCTTACTTAAGTCCAGACAAACATATATGTCTATACTTACCGTTAATCCGCTAGGATTCCCGCTTGCTGGAAGTTCTTTCTCGTTGCTTCGGCTCTCATGCCAAAACCTGTTTCATGAAAATAGGTATTAACCACCTATTCCAAACATCAAAATTTCTCATACTTGGATTCCTAAATCCAAATTTCAACTCATTTTTGAACTTAACCCCTCTAGGCCGAATTCTAGCTCAAGAGGTAAATTACACCTATTCGTGTATCTCGGTTTCTGAATCATAATCTATTCACTTCCGAGCTTTAAAACTGTTACTCATTCTCGAGAGTCGAACTCTTAACTCAATACTTACTAACTAGGTTTTTAGAAATTTCGGCAGAGTTTCGCCTTGTTTTTTCTAGTTTCCCGAGTTTTCAATAACTCGTTCTACTTCCGATTTCGGTACCTGTAGTCCAGATTCACATTCCTGAACACAAATTCCAACATAAAATGAACAACAACACTTTTTCTCCATTTCTAGTGTATTCCGGATTTTTTAGTGTTAATCCAAAAAAATTTGTTCAATCGTTTCCATACTTGCACGTTAAACTCCTATCATAGTCCCCGACAAAACCTCAGTTTCGTTTTTCAGTTTTATGGATTTTTTCCGAGATGAGTTACTATTCATAACAACGAAAAAGCATGCAGTTTCTCATGAAAAAACTAAAATCTTACCTTGAAAAGTTGAGTTTCTCCGCTAAAACGCCTCGGGTTATGTTTCTACCGGACTGAACGGAAAAATTTTCGGTGAAAACGGGTGATTCCTTGATTTTCCCTTGATTTTCTCTCTTTTCTCTCTCTCTTTCTTCTTGGTCGGTCACTCTTTAGGAAAATAGAGCATAATGCTTCTAATTTTCCTTGCTTCACGTTTTAAGATGTAAAGGAATATTATAATAATATTTTTAATAATATCTCACATTACTTTCTAAATTAAATTAGAGAAATTACTTTAATTCTCATAATTTAATTTTTACTAATTCTAGTTAAGTTTAACACTTAATTTAAGTGGTTCCATGTTCCCCACATTTTTCTTGTCGAGACCAAACTTTTCATTTTTCAAAACGAGTCTCTTTCCGGTACCGATAATTTCACACTCGGTACAGGTTCTATATTGCTTTTCTGGACTGCCGAGCACCCTGGGTCAAATTTCTCATATCCAACCCATTTCTCTTGGGTATCTCAATAGTCAATTTCTTTTTCTGAAATTTTCATTTTAAACGATCCAGAGTTGCCCAAAATGCGTACCCTCGCGGTACTCATTTTTTTGCAGTTTTCCGCTTTAACTGACTCGGGAAAATTTTGTTTCAGGAACTTTTGCTATTTTCCTTCTAATATTTTTACTTTTTTTCTAACTGGTCATTTGGTCATTTACCAAATATTTTAGTTTTTCATAACTAAAATATACCCATTAAAATTTCTAACTTTTAACCGATATTTTACTATTCACAACTGATATTTACGAATTTTCTCTGTAAAAATATGCGTATTATAACTTTACACTTTTCGGGTGATTTTACCCCGTATATAAAGTTTCTACATAACACTTTCCTGATTACATCAATATTTCTACTACTTTCTGTTCCGGGAAGAATTACGGTCAAATACCAGACTCTCCGAATTTGACTTAAAATTTTCCCGGTCATTACAGATATGACCTCAAAATAACAGGGGTCAAGGTCGGCCAGTGAGACGATGGGAGATAAGCTTCATCATCGAGAGGGAAACAGCCCAGATCACCAGCTAAGGCCCCTAAATGACTGCTCAGTGATAAAGGAGGTACGGGTGCAGAGACAATCAGGAGATTTTTCTAGAAGCAGCCACCCTTGAAAGAGTGCGTAATAGCTCACTGATCGAGCGCTCTTGCGCCGAAGATGAACGGGGCTAAGCGATCTGCCGAAGCTGTGGGATGTAAAAATGCATCGGTAGGGGAGCGTTTTGCCTAGAGGGAAGCACCCGCGCAAGCAGTGGTAGACGAAGCGGAAGCGAGATGCGTAGATTGAGTTCTTGTAGGGTCCTATTTTGATGGTGCTGCTACTGAATTTAAGAAGAGGGATTAGAGCAAAAGGGAGTTCAAAGGAAAGTATCATCTGCAAAGCCAGATAAAATGTTTCTATTAGAACTTTCGAACGCGAAACAAGGGAAAAAGTAATAATAATAATAATAAAGATTTATAGCAAATTAGAAACGAACCAAAACAATATTAATGAGTCGACCGACTCCGGATGAGTCCCTAATAATGGAGGCAATGAGACTTGGTGAAATGGCAATGGTTCTTGTCATTAGATTCCTCATCCATTTTTTCATCTTAAGGTCCAAGAATCCCTATAAACACACCACTCCAAATGTTTATAATTTATATAATGAAGCAAATTTAGCCAATCTATAACTGAAAAACTCATTTAAGAAAAAGAGGAGAAAAAAAAAAAAAAAAAAAAAAAAAAAAAAAAAAAACCCCAAAATATTTTAGAACCTGCATATATTGTCTGCATAAGTGCCAGTGATGGCCGAGCTTTGGCCCGAGGCAAGTAACGCAATGGCATAAATAATCTTGCTTGAGGTTCCCAATACATTCTGGTTATGCACAAAGTTGTGTTAAAAAACTCTAAATTAATATAAACCAAAATGTTAAGCAAATTAATCAGATCACAAAAACTAAATATTGAGGCCCTGTTTATTTCGTTAGTTCGGATCACAACTCAAGTTTTTACTATAAAATTCTATTATAAAAATTTAAATTTAATTTTTTTCTCCTACAGTATTTTCTTTTACATGAATTTACTTGTTAACTTAAGTTTTCAATTCGAACGAGCCATAAAATTGTGGATATAGTACCTGTAGAAGAAAAGAGGCGGAGTTGAGAGTAAGATCACTACATCTATCAGTATCATCACTGGAAAGGTTATTTGCGGAGCAAACGGTGCCTGACACGGAGATAACAGCCACATTGATCATGAACGCCACAAACAATATGCAAATCCACTCTCTATCACGAACAAACGGCAAGCATCCTGCAAAATTAAAGTCGTATTTTTATGTTTTATATGGTCTATTAGTTAAAAAAAAAAATGGAAATTCAAGTCTTCTAGTTTGTACCAAGCTACTTATATTCTTAGAATGTTTTTGAAGTGAAAAATTGCTTAAATTAATGCCACACATAGCGTTGGGTACTTTCCTAGAGAGCACAAGAGCCGAGCGCAGGAAAAGATTGCGCCTATTACAATTAAATAATTAAATTAAACAAAAAAAAAAAACACAAAAAACTAAGTAATAACTTCATTTTTAGCATTTAAGAAGGAATTAAAAAGTTCAAGAGTAAAAAATGCTATAACATGACACTAAAAAAAAGATGATGATATAATCATACGACATAATAAAAGCACTCAAAAAGGCGATGGCGTCGCGGGTGGCACCTTGGTCGTTGAGCTCGGGAATAAACATGCCCTTGAACACTCCTGACGCCAGAGGCTTGACATAACTCATTTCTCCAAAGAAACAGGCTGCCATTATGAATACCACCACTGATATTATGATCATAGAAAAGAAATAAAAATCGTAAATTGTAATTGTAAGACATGAATTTTAATTTTGTCAAATGCTTTTGCTCGTTAGCTAAAGTACTTTTATGAAGTATTCTCTCCAAAATTGTACCCTTTTTATTTTAACTCTTGAGCAGTAATTTTTGGAAAGATCAAAATTGGGATCAGTAGAGAAAAGATAAACATGTATGGGAAGATTGATTATGACAGATTATCGAATTGCTTGGATGTGAAGTTATTAAAAGTATTTGTGTGGGATATTTGATCAGCTTCAACGTGTTATGAGATTTTTGGATCATAAAATTAAAAAAAAAAATTAAATTTTTTTTTTTTAATTGACCAATGGCCAATATTGTACTAAAACTGTTATGCGTACAGAAATATACTTGTGTGTCCACATGCGTATGCGTGTGTGTGGCTAGTTAAAATTTAGGGGCATTATTTTGATGAAACTGACGGATAATTTTTTAAATTTTCTTTTAGGATTAATTACAAAAAATTTTCTTAAATTATACCCTTTACAACACTTTATTCTATGATTTTTAAAACATAACATATATTTCTCTTAAATAATGAAATATTAACAAAAATACTCATCCGTTAAGTTTTTAATTGAAATTGACATTTAATTTATTATCTTAAGAGTATTTTAAAAATTCTATAGTTTGAAACTTAATTTTTATTTAAACTAACTTAAATATTAAAAAAAAAACCTCATAAATTTTTTTATTCTACTAAAAAAGATTTATAAAATTTTTAACTTACATTTAATCAATAATAAATGTATCATAATTAAAATTTTAAATTTAAAATAATTTGAAATATAGAGCTATTAAAATACCTCAAAATATTAATTTCTATTAAAAAAACTTAACGGATAATTTTTTTTATTAACATTTTATTATTTAAAAGATTATATATTACATTTTAAAAATTGAGAGATAAAAGGGTTGTAAATAGTACATTCAAGATAATTTCCTTTCTTTTACTTTCTACTTTTTATCTTTTTCTCCTCCAATATCCTCAACCCACGAAATCTCACATACAGCAGGGGCCCTACAATCCTTACCCAGAATGCGATTTTGCTCTTGCTAGAACGGCCATCATTGGACCAAAAATTTTGTACATAACTCGTTGGAAACTTTCTGTGGTCAGAATTAAGTGCCTAAATAAAAAATTTAAAATGACCCAACAACAACAACAACAAGATCTTTCTATGCCACGTGGCAAGCCAGAAACCTATACTTGGTCTGACAAAAATCTGAATGGAAATCTAGGTTCGGTTTGAGAACCAATGGGATGTTGGTGACGTGTAGATTTCCTAATCCACAACATCTACTCATTCCCATTATAACGCCCTTTGCCAACCAAGGGCTTCTCAACAGCAACTCATTTTACACAAAAAAAAAAAAAAAAAAAAAACTTGAGAAAAACTCACAGAAGGTAGCTTAAGATAGTCATGGCCACCTCTGCTATCCAACAATCGGCATTCGCCGGCCAGACCGCTTTGAAGCAGTCGAATGAGCTCGTCAGGAAGGCCGGTGCCGTCGGCGGCGGCCGTGCCACCATGAGGAGAACTGTTAGGAGTGCTCCTCAGAGCATCTGGTAACTACGTAACTTTCTTGCAAGTAGAAGTTGTTCATACTTCATGATAGGGATGGATACTTGACTTTTAGATAATCAAGATATATTCTACTCTAACAAAAATGACTCTAGTCATTCATTCAAAAAAGTATAATAAACCTCATTTCTTGATGTGCAGAACATTTTCTTTTAAACTTCATGAAAGTCTTTAGCAGTGTTCTATTTTGTTTAACTTTAGCAAGGACATTTTTCCAAGAAGAAACGGTCATCTTTCTGAATTCTGTTTTAAATTTCACGAGCTTTAGTATCCTCTAGAAAGAGTGAAATATAAAAGCAAAATCAACTCGTGAAACTCACTACGCTCGAGCAGAAAAGAAAAAACTTTTAACGCATATTCCGTTCATTTTACTGATTTGAGTTTTGAATTTAAATTTTACTACAGTTAGAAACAATCATATTTAATTTTTTTACTATAATAAAAAACTTTTAGAAACAATCAAATCTAATTTTTTTACTACAGTTAAAAACTCACATAAAGTCACATCTCAACTAAAATTAAAAATTCAAATCAACGAACTAAACAAGCCTACAATTTCTTAGGCTTCGTAGATTCAAAATTTCAATTTAATGTGACATTTTCTGAAAATTTTTAACTGAAAAAATTTAAAATTAAAAATTTAAATTGGTAAAGTGAACGAGACATGAAACAATTTTGAGTGTGAAATGACAAATAACATATCTTGTACTCTCAATGAAACAGGTACGGCCCAGACCGCCCGAAGTACTTAGGACCATTCTCAGAGCAAATCCCATCATACCTGACTGGTGAATTCCCCGGTGACTACGGCTGGGACACCGCTGGTCTATCAGCTGACCCTGAGACCTTTGCAAGAAACCGTGAGCTTGAGGTCATACACAGCAGGTGGGCCATGCTTGGTGCACTCGGCTGCGTCTTCCCTGAGATCTTGTCAAAGAACGGTGTCAAGTTTGGTGAGGCAGTTTGGTTCAAGGCTGGTTCCCAGATCTTCTCAGAGGGCGGCCTTGACTACCTCGGCAACCCAAACCTCATCCACGCCCAGAGCATCTTGGCCATCTGGGCCAGCCAGGTTGTCCTCATGGGCTTTGTTGAGGGCTACAGGATTGGCGGTGGCCCACTTGGCGAGGGCCTTGACCCAATCTACCCGGGTGGGGCATTTGACCCACTTGGCCTCGCTGATGACCCAGATGCATTTGCTGAGTTGAAGGTCAAGGAGCTCAAGAATGGAAGGCTGGCTATGTTCTCCATGTTTGGTTTCTTCGTTCAGGCCATTGTTACCGGAAAGGGACCAATTGAGAACCTCGTCGACCACCTTGCTGACCCAGTGACCAACAATGCTTGGGCTTACGCCACAAACTTTGTCCCCGGGAAGTGAGAGAGCCACCCCAGATGGGTTTTGATGTTCAGATGTAACATTACTTAGCTTTCATGCTCTTGTTGAAGCTCTTTCTATGTGGACTCCGTTTTAGTACTGATGTAATTTCACTAGTAGAAACTGCTTCTCCTGGAACCGATTATTATTTCTACTTAAAATTGCGGCTCCTCCGTGCTTGAACTCATCACCTGTTTGATCGTGCTGTTTATCAACCATTGAGCATTCCCATTAACTTGAATCATACATCCCCGAAATAGATTATACTAAGTAATACAAGCAATCAATACAAAGTGCTTTAAACCACTGCAGTTGGCAAAAAGGACAAAATGATTCGTATAATCTGAAATGACACTAAACATTCCTTGCTTTCTAAACTACAATAGATGAAGTGCATTCAACAGGATAAAAGAAACACTTAAATTTAGCACATAGAAGAGTTAAACGCTGCAATAGACTTGCAAAGTTTGTAAGCTCTTTTCACCAACTGAAACAGAGAAAGGGTTTAAAAAAGCCTCTTAATGTATGTGTAGAAATCAGGAAAGTAGGCTAAAGTTATGGACCGGATATGTACCAATCCGGTTAATGAGGACTTAGAGATAAATTATGAAAGTGGTTTATCTTTTCAATTTTTAAAGAGATTCCTTAAGATAAAGATCTCATTCATTCAAGGGATTTAGTTTCCTTTTTCCGTGGGATATACTTTCCCATTCCCATAAGGTAGTTTTCCTATAAATATTGTAATCCTTGTACAAGAATTAATCAATGAAATATACTTTCTTTTCTGCCCTAAAATCTACATGGTATCAGAGCCGAAATAACCTTCTTAATTCATGGCTGAAACGGCCATTACTGAAGAAGGCAGATCCTCGGCATCTTCTAGGGCAGAAGGTCCTAATCGTGGTGAACCAGATCGAACCACCATAGCGTAAGGAGGAGACCCTTCTCAATTTTCATTCCAATTGACTCTCCACAAACTGAACGGGAAAAACTACCTAGAATGCTCACAATCGGTGAAGCTGGCCATAGATGGAAGAGGAAAACTTGGTCATCTGAATGGAGAAGTGAAGAAGCTTGGAGATGGGGACCCAAAACTGAAGGCATGGAGGTCAGACAATTCTTTAGTCACTGCCTGGTTGATTAACTCTATGGAATCGACCATAGGTAAGCCCTGCCTTTTCTTTCCTACTGCAAAATATGTATGGGATGCGGTGAGAGAGACTTATTCTGATCTTGAAAATTCCTCACAAATTTTTGAATTACAAACCAAGTTGTGGAAATAATGAGATGGTTTTCCTATGGCAAGAGTTAGATCAGTGTTATAATGATGAGTGGGATTGCCTTATGGATAGCGTAAGATTCATGAAAAAAGAAGAGAGTGATCGGGTGTACCTGTTTTTGGCTGGTTTGGATCGAGTCTTTGATGAGATTAGGTCTAGGATTCTTGGAAAAAAATCCTCTACCAACTCTTCGGGAGGCTTTTTCTGAAATTAGAAGATAGGAGACTAGGAGGAAGGTTATGTTGAAAACTGAAAAAGATAACAAACCAGTGGCTGCTGTGACTAACAATTCTGCTCCCGTGTCAATAAGGAATGAATCGAAAAATGACAGGAAAAAGAAGCCATGGTGTGACCACTACAAAAAGCACTGGCATATGCATGAAAACTGTTGGAAGATTCATGGAAAACCGTAGAATTGGAAGAAGAACACTGATAGCAGGGGCTTCTCGGCTCAAGCAACCAGTGAAGATCAAGGGCAGCAAGGTACTCCTGAAGGGCTGCCTTTCACAAAGGAGCAATTGGAGCAGCTGCACAATCTTTTTCAGTCTTCACAATTCAGAGTAAACCAATCAACCCCTTCATGTTCCTTTGTCCAAACAGGTAATCTTGTCTCAGCCTTCCTCTGTGTTAATCCTAAACAAAATAGCTCCTGGATCATAAATTCAGGAGCCACTGATCACATGATAGGTTGCTCCTAATTTTTTTCAACTTATGCCCCATGTGCAAGGAATAGAAAGATTAGAATCGCTGATGGTTCCCTTTCTGCAATTGCTGGAACAAGGACTATCAAAATTTCAAATTACATAACCTTGCATGATGTACTCCATGTTCCTAAACTTTCTTGTAACATTGTGTCTATTAGTCAAATAACAAAGTCTCTTAATTGTCATGTTATATTTGACTCGACGATTGACAGTGTTAGAGAAAGTGGAGGTCTCTATTTTCTTGAAAATGGAACCGAATCAGGACACCAAGTTCAAAATTCACGTTTCAACTATATTTCCGTTTTTAATAATGTTATGCTTTGGCATTATAGATTAGGGAATCCAATTTTTTATTACTTAAAACATTTGCTACCTGATTTATTTAGAAACAAAAGCCCATCTTCTTTTAAATGTGAGATTTGTGAACTAGCTAAGCATCATCGTTCATCCTTTCCTTCTAGACCATATCAAGCATCAAAACCGTTTCTGTTAATTCATAGTGATGTTTGGGGACCATCTAGAGCCTCAACAATGTATGGAAAAAAATGGTTTGTCAGCTTTATAGATGATCATACACGACTCACTTAGTACACAATTTCAAGAAAAAATTAAAAGTGTTTAGGAGTGATAATGGCAGAGAATACTTTAATGAAATCCTAAGGGGATATTTTTCACAAAATGGCATAATACATCAAAATTCATGTTCAGATACACCCCAACAGAATGGGATAGCAAAAAGAAAAAACAAACACCTCCTAGAAGTCACTAGAGCATTATTATTTACTAATGGTGTTCCTAAGTACCTTTAGGGAGAGGCACTCCTAACTACAACATACCTCATAAATCGCATGCCTACCAAAGTTCTAAATTATCAAACACCCCTAAGTGTCTTCAAGAATACTTTCCCTACCTCTAAGTTGACAACAGATTTACCTCTGAGAGTGTTTGGGTGTAGTGCATTCGTTCATATTCAAAGTCAAAATAAGGAAAAGTTAGATCCTCGCGCCAGGAAGTGTATATTTGTAGGGTATGCTCCGAACCGAAAGGGGTAAAAGTGCTATGACATAAGATCCAAAAAAATGTTTATCACAATGGATGTCACTTTCTTTGAGTCTCAACCATTTTTTGGTACTCATCTTCAAGGGGAGAAAATAAGTGAAGATTCAAACTTTGAAATAGAAACTGAAACTGATCAACCCGTCACAAAGAGCCCAAATTTCCTAATAAATACAGAGTTGAGTGATTTAGGTAATGAAAATTTGAATCCTGAGTCTATAGAGTCATCTCATAACATTAATAAAGATGTGAATAGGGAACAAATAGGAACAAAAAAACTACTGGTTTACAGGAGGAAGAACCGAAAGCAAGGAGTATAGATTGAAACTATCCAACACTGTCAAGAGCCTGAACCACAGATCAGTCCGGACCCTGCACTACAGAACATTCCTGATTCTGATCCAGGTAATCCTCACACAGTACCTATCCACACAAACCTGCCCAATCTTGAATCTGAGCCCTGTATATCTAAGTCTGATCTTCCCATTGCTAAACGCAAAGGGGTCAGAAGTTGTGTAAGATATCCCATGTTGAGCTTTGTGTCCTACAAACACCTGTCACCTGTTTTTTCTGCCTTTACCTCACAGTTGTCTAGTGTGGAGGCTCCAAAGAATGTGTAAGATGCTCTAAAGGTTTCTGAATGGAAGGAAGTTGTTCTCAAGGAAATGAAGGCCCTTGAAAAGAATGGAACTTGGGAAGTGACAAAACTGCCAAAGGAAAAGAAGACTGTTGGCTGCAAATGGGTGTTCACAATGAAATACATATCAGATGGATCTCTGGAGAGATATAAGGCTCGTCTAGTAGCCAAAGGGTTTACTCAAACGTATGGGATCAACTACCTTGAAACCTTTGCACTAGTGGCAAAGCTCAATACTATCAGGGAACTCTTAACACTTGCAGCCAACTTAGATTGGCCACTACAGCAACTAGATGTGAAGAATGCTTTCCTTAATGGCGATCTGGATAAAGAAGTCTACATGGACCCACCTCCAGGGTTTGAGGAAAAATATGGAAACCGGGTATGCAGGCTGAAAAAGTCTCTATATGGTCTAAAGTAATCTCTAAGAGCATGGTTTGAGAGATTTACTCAATTTGTGAAGAGACAGGGATATGACCAGGGGCAAGCAGATCACACGATGTTCACAAGACACTCCAATGAAAAAGTAGATGTTCTTATAGTATATGTTGATGACATCATTCTTACTGGGGATGATACTGATGAGATGAATCGCCTAAAGCAGAGTCTGGCTTCTGAATTCGAGATTAAGGACCTAGGCTCACTAAAATACTTCCTTGGTATGGAAGTGGCCAAGTCAAGAAAAGGGATTGCAGTTTCACAAAAGAAGTATGTGATTGATCTTCTTGAAGATACTGGGATGAGTGGATGTCGCCCTGCAGAAACACCAATTGATCCAAATCAGAAATTTGGAAACAAAGAGGGAAGACCAGTGGATACGGCCCAGTACCAAAGACTACTAGTTGGGAAGCTAATCTACTTATCACATACACGACCAGACATAACATTCGCTGTCAACCTAGTGAGCCAGTTCATGCACTCTCCTCATGATGAACATCTAGAAGCAGCCTACCGCATTCTAAAGTACTTAAAGAGTTCACCGGGAAAATGACTGTTTTTTTAGAAGAATGAACAACGAGGTATTGAAGCTCATACATATGCAGATTAGGCGGGGTCTACTTCAGATAGAAGGTCCACATCTGGCTACTGCACGTTTGTATGGGGAAACTTAGTAACATGGAGGAGCAAAAAACAAAACGTAGTGGCTCGAAGCAGTGCAGAAGCAGAATACAGATCAATGGCACAAGGGATTTGTGAGATGATATGGCTCAAACGGATTTTGGAGGAACTAAGAAGACCTGTGATCATGCCTATGAAGCTGTATTGCGACAACAAAGCAGCGATCAGCATCGCCCACAATCCAGTCCAACATGACAGAACAAAACTTGTTGAGATCGACTAGCATTTTATAAAAGAAAAGATTGAAGCTGGAGCCATTTGCATGCCATTTGTTCCAACGTCACAACAAGTGGCTGATGTTCTTACTAAAGGATTATTTAGACCATACTTCGAGTTTCTCAATAGCAAGTTGGACATGATAGATATCTATGCATCAACTTAAGGGGGAGTGTAGAAATCAGGAAAGTAGGCTAAAGTTATGGACCGGATATGTACCAATCCGGTTAATGAGGGCTTAGAGATAAATTAGAAAAGTAGTTTATCTTTTCAATTTTTAAAGAGATTCCTTGAGATAAGGATCTCATTCATTCAAGGGATTTAGTTTCCCTTTTCCGTGGGATATACTTTCCCATTCCCATAAGATAGTTTTCCTATAAATATTGTAATCCTTGTACAGGAATTAATCAATGAAATATACTTTCTTTTCTGCCCTAAAACCTACAGTATGCATAAAATGAAAGGTTAAATTTACCTAAACGCTGAATAACTAGGGGACAGCAGCAGCGCCAAATTCTCCTTTGAACATGGATAAATATAGAGATATGCTCTGCTTCTTGCTTGAAAGAAACACAAGCGTCAATACAAGGGAACAAAATAGGCAGTCACCAAAAATCTTTGCAAGAACATAACCCGTTTTTGAAATGGTGGAAACGGCTATTATCTCTCACAATGATCTCTCTATTATAGAGATCAGATAGAAGTTTAGTTATGGAGTGGCAATCATTACAAACACGAAGATTCTTAATGATGCGAATAGGACTCCCAGGTTCCACATTAATGAGGCCAAAAGCAATTGCCAACCTCTCACTGTGGTTTTCTAGTTCAGCTTCCTTCTCTTTCTCGTCTTCAAGACACAGCAGAACTTGGCTTGTATCTGGAACATGACCGGCTGATTTCAATCTCTCTCTCATCTCACTCATTTTAGCATATATCTCTTTCGTCTGAGTATCGGATTTATCTCCCACTATAAATTCATGAAGCATGCCTTTGTGCTCTATATAACTGCATCCTGGCTCCTTCTTGATTCCTCTCTTTTTCATCATTTCTCTTATCGAAGAAACTTTATCCCACTTCCCCGCTGCAGCATACATATTAGAAAGAACAACATAGCATCCAATAGTCTCTGGAGCAACCTCAATCAAACGTTGAGCTGCATACTCACCAATATTGATGTTTCCAAAGTTCCTAGAACCACTTAATAAACTCATCCAAATCACTTTGTTCGGTCTCATTGGCATGCCCTCAATGATATCCTTTGCTTCTTCAAGATTTCCTACTCGACATAAAATGAATACCAAGCAACCATAATGTTCAATCGTAGGTTCAATGCCATAATCATTTGTCATCATATTAAAATAGTGACGAACAAGCTCAACTAATCCTGCATGACTACAAGCATTCAACACCCCAAGAAAAGTTATAGCATGAGGCTGCAACCCAGTTCTTCGCATTTCAGAAAACATCTCAAGAGCACGCTCGGCCATACCATGCATTCCTAAGCCTACAATAATTGCAGTCCAATGCCCCAACTTTTTCTTCGATATTGCTCGAAAAACTGATAGAGCACTCTCAACGCTGCCACACTTGGAGTACATTTCAATCAGTGATGTACCCAAAACACCTTCCGATTCAATTCCACATTTCACCATTAAGGAATGAATCCATTTTCCCTTACTTAGGACAGCTAAACCCGAAACAGCAGACAAAGCACCAACAAATGTGGTGTGGTTAGGCACAAGGCCCTCTTTCAACATTGCTATAAACAAGTACAAAGCTTCCATAAACTTGCCATTAAACTCATAACCAGCAATCATCGAATTCCAAGTTATGACATCTCTTGTCGGCATCTCATCAAACAACCGACGCGCCATCTCAACATCCCCTGATTTCATATACCCGTTAATCATGGCATTCCAGGAAACCAAATTCCTACTCGGCATCCGATCAAACACATCTCTTGCCATCTCAACCCGCCCACATTTCGAGAACCCATCAACCAAACAAGTCCACGAAAAGTAATCCCTCTCAGGCATTTCATCAAACAGTTGGAGGGCAATCTCAACTTCCCCGCAACGCGCGTACCCATCAATCAAGCAGTTCCACAACACCAGATCCTTCTCACCCATTTGATCAAACACCTTCCGGGCATAACCCATCTCCCCACATCTCGAATACATACTTACCAAACTACTCTGCACAAACTTATCCAAACCAAACCCAATTTTCACCACCAACCCATGAATCTGCTTCCCCTCCGGAACCGCGTTCAACCGAGCGCAACCCTTTATAACGCTGGGCAAGGTGAAGCAATCGGGCGTGAATTCATGGACCAAATCGTGGAACAAGCAAATGGCGTCGTGTGAACGTTGGTTCTCGACGTAGCACTTGATCAAAATGTTCCAGGAGACGAGGTCGGGGACGGGAATGAGGTCAAAGACGGAGCGGGCGTAGTCGAGGCTGTTGATTTTGGGGTCGGCGTAGAGGGCTAAGAGGCGGGAAGCGATGTAAGGGTGGTCGAAAGCGCCGGTCCTGAGGGAGAGGGCGTGGGTCCGTTTGACGTCTTGTTGGGTTTTGCAGGATTGGAGGAGGGAGAAAGGGAGGGTGTGAGGAGAAGGAGGAGAGAGAGGTTGGTGGAGGGAATGAGAAGGTGTGAGCTTCAGCATTTTAATGGCGTCCGAATTGCAGGAGGAGGATGAAAACTCTCAAGTCTCGAGCTGAGTTTCGTCGGAAACCGTCCGAGTAACAATTGTCCCAATGGATAATTAATAGCTTTTTAGAGCATCAACGAACCTCGGCTTCTTCGTTTCTCCGATTCAAAATTTTTAATTTCAGTTTATTATATTAAAAAGCTCTAATAAAAAATTATATTTAACTTTTTTTATAATTTTAAATTTTAATTTAATTCTAGTTAGGAAGTTACTTTAATTAATAATTTTTTAGTGAGTCATTTTAATAATATTCTTTATTTTTATTAAATATAAATTATTTTAATATTTATTAAATTTAAAATATAAATAATTTTATTAAATTTAATAAAAATTTCATTCCATTTATTACTGTTAAAATAATAAAATAATACAAAAAAATAAATGGATAACCTCTTCATATTAACTATGTTTAATTAGTGTGAAAGACATTATTTAAAATAACTAACTATTTAGCTAATAGTTGGAGTTAAGAAAAACTTTAAAAAAATAAAAACTAAATCATTAGTCATTTTGATTAAAAACTTGAAATGGCTAATATTATTAGAGTTGCTCTTAGATATTCCAAACGAGTCTATAATTTATCAAATTATTTTAAAGTAGTCTTTTATATTTATCTGATTATAAAAATTTCAATAAAAATATTCTTTTTCTTAACCGTCTGTGTCTAAAAGATAGAATTACAAAATTAACTCTCATTAAACCACATTTTCTTCTTGTGCATTTTCATTGAGATTTTTACTGTGCATAGACTAAATTGTAATAATTTTATAGATTAGGACTTGTTTTATGATGTTTTAAAAATCGAGAACCACAGTAGAATTTGGCCTATAACTAAGACTAAAGGAGAGTTTAATCCTAATTTTATCATGATTTTCGACACATTATATTATTTGAATTTTTTTTGTTTCAGCAAATTTACCGCTTAAATAGATAAATAGAGTTTAAATTAATGACATAAATAACTAGTGTTTTTTTGTCTTCTCTAGATTCCTCAAAGTGTTACACTTTTTACTTTTTTTTAAAAAAAAAATTTACTGACAAGTGACAACTTAATCCTTAATTTTCTTATAAACTCCTAAAATCCTTAATGTGTTTAAAAGATAATAATATAAATGCTCCTAAACTATATATGTTAGTATAATATGTCCCGCAATTTAAAAAGGGTCCATTTCACTTTTTTGAATTGTGTAAAGTGGTTTAAGACTGTATAATCTCTTCTTTTTTTTTTTTTTCTTTATTTGTACTCATCTTTCAGGGTGTAAATTTTAACCATGCTGGGCAGATATAGCTATACCAGCAAAGAAATATGGGATTTTCAAGGCCATTTCATAACAATCCAAGTAAAACGCTATGGATTGCTATAAAAAAAATTAAAAAATTAAAAAAAAAAAAAAAAAAAAGCAAAACGCTATGGAAGAAATAGAAGCAGGCTATCTCAATTCTCAAGGGTGTAAATAGATTCAAAGCTTAGCTCAAGACCTTAACCCAAAGTGTTCCATGCAATTACCCTTCTTTCCATCACATCATGTTTGGACGTTTGGTTCACGGATTCATAATCATGATTTAGAACTATTATCGGTTTATGTCTGCTTTTTGAGAGAAAAAATAATGTAATGAGTTACGAACCATGATTCGAACCATGACACGAATCCTTATACCAAACACCCTAAGTCCGCTGAAGTTATTTTACATGCATCATTGAAGACTCAATTAACTTGGACAAATTTACTTCCGGTACCCTATAGTTCAACATTTTCTCAATTTGGTACCCTAGTGTTCAAAAGATCTCCATGAAGTACCCCGGTAAAAAAAAATACCACTCAGGTATATTGATGGCCTTTTTCGAGACAAAATGATGAAACCACTCTTTTTGAATCCTTTTATTAACCTAGGTTTTCTTTTTGTGGTTGTCATGAGAGGTGGATTTGAAAGTTTTGGTTATTTATTTATTATTTTTTTGTTTAGTTATTTTCTTAGATTTTATGTTTTTAGGAATTTATCATTTTTTTCTTATTTAATTACGTTTTTTTATTGAAAGGATAGAATTGTGATTTCATGTCAAAAAAGAGTTAAGGTACTTATTTTTTTTCCTAATAACAGGGGTACTTTAATGAGATTTTCCAAACACAAGAGTACCATATTGTGAATGTTTGAATCTACAGGATACCAAATTTATTCTGAGAGTTGTTATTCGTCAAGACTAAAAACTTCCCACCTATTTGTTTAGAGCCTTTTGTTTACTAAGATTTCGTTCGGTTCGTGGATTCGAGTTTTTAATTCAAGTTGAGATGTGATGTTTTTTGAGAGTTTTTAACTGTATCATAAAAAGTTAGATGTGACATTATATGAGTCTCTGAGAGCTTTTAACTGTAGAAATCTAAAATTGAAAACTCAAATCGATGAAATGAACGATGCCTAAGATTTATTGGTGATTTTCTAGACTTGTACAATATCCAATGCTAATGACTTTTTTATGTTGATTTTTTTTTTCTTTTTTGCTAATTGACTTTTTATGTTGATTGATGGATACAATTGGTACTCTAACGTATTTATAACAAAACTTTTATGTTGATCTTGTCCAAAAATATTTTATGTTTCCACGTAAACTTTTACTATCCTATATTTCTCTAGCTCTTCATTCATACTCATCTAATAAGAATATGTGCTACAATTTGGAGTGCTTAATCAGCTAAGACATACTATTCAGAATTTTATACTAAGAACTGTAATATTTTTTAAATGCTTATAATGCCATTTGCTGACATACAAAATGCATGAGCATGCATAGTTAATTTTGTTGAATATAAAATATAATGCCAGGGGAAAGCAATTGCTAGGATTCCTTCACTTTTTTTCTGCATGTGCAAAGGTCCTAATCAAAGACATCAACCCTCCAAAAAAATATTCCTTCCGGTCCTTGTCGTTGTCTCCCTCGTACAAACTCCACTAAAAAAGCTTTATAGCCTGTTTGCCTCCCGAGTTTAAGTCATTAATTTTTATTTTTAATTTAGATTTTGTAAGAGAACCATCGGTAAAAAATTTTTTATTTAAAATTTTTATGAGAGAAAAATATTATAGTAAACTTAGATTTATGATTACAAACGCATAAAATAAACGGACACTTAGGCCTCGTTCACTTCGCGGATTCGAGTTTTCAATTCGAGTTGAGATGTGACATTTTCTAAGAGCTTTTTACTGTAGTAGAAAAAGTTAAATGTGACGTTTTTTGAGAACTTTTTACTATAAAAACTTAGAACTGAAAACTCGAATCGGTGAAATGAACGAGACCTTTAAAAAGTATGAGGGTGAGTTCCATATTTAAAGCAAACGCATAAGAAGGGAAATCCTCCTAAAATCCCCCAAAAGCTGGAAACTAACCCAATAAAGTCTTAGAAGACAAGAGGACACAAGTATTACCTAACCATTGATTCCCCACAAGAACTCTCTTCCAAATGCTACTCTCCATTTCCCAATTTTGGATTCTTTCCCTCATACTCTTTCTATTTAAAAAAAAAGTCCTTTCCCCGACACATCCACCAACCCAACCTTCTCTAGACTAGCCTTTAGACTGTTTCCTTTGGACTTTGTTACCCATTAGCCGATTCCCATGTAACCTTACATCACCCAAAAATGATTAAGAAAGCCCCAAAATTGCATAAAATTAATCCCCCCCAAACAAAAAACAACCCACCACTTATATACACACATTGATTCTGTATTTTCCCCTTCAAAACCAATTATAGCCAAAACCCACCAAAAAAATCACCCCAACTCCTAAAGCTCTATGCTTCAATGGGCAGGCAAAGTGGTGATTCCACCACCAAGGTTAGCTCCTCCATTGCTCTCTTGCAAGAAAGGTTCAAACAATTGCAAAAAGTGAAGGAGAGAAGGGAGGAGAAAGAGCTCTTGAAGATGATGTCGGAGAGTGAAAAAGTGTCTCCTTTAGGCCATTTTGATCCATCTAATTTGCCTTTCCAATCCAACAATATGGTATTTCCTCAGAGTCACAGGCCAAATGCCTCTCAAGATCAATCGCTCTCTCTTCGACTTGACTTGCAAGCAAAGCAAGATGATCCTTGTGCCATGAGGAAACAGCCCTTAACAAATCTATGGTCCTCGGCTAGCTCTTCGAAGAGTTTTGATAATTACGAAATTGATACCTCTCTTCATCTGTAAATAAGTAACTTAGTTGTTACCTTTTTCTATTCTCTATCTTTTTTTTTTTTTTTTTTTTGGTATGTTTGATTAGAAGGTTTATTTTCTTCCTCCCCCTCTTCTTCGTGTAATATTGGAAGAGTATAATGTAAGTAATGTCTTGTTCTTGCATGAAAAATAAGAGGAAAAAAAAAATGAAACTCATGTTTTATTGCTGTAATCTTCCTTGACCATCAAATAGAAAATTGAAAAAGAATAGTGCGAAATAAGGGAGGCGATACAAGCTTGTAAAATTGCCCATATCATTTTTCTGAATCCTTTCACACTTTTTATGTTTTGTAAACTTCCAAACAAAAATCACCAGATCATGAGATTTTAAGGAAAATGGTGTCTTTCTAATTTAGTTCCAAATTTGTCCAAATCTTTTTGGATAAATTAAAGTTTTTCACTTTGGGTTGTTTGGCCATTCATGTTAAAACAACAAAGATATAGTGCCAAAGAACTTGATCTTTCCACCTACTGATCAATTGTTCATCGCTGTCTTTAATTTTCTTTCTATTTTTCCCTCTAGCAAGCCAAAAAAAAAAAAAAAAAAAGCATCTTTAGTTATGATGAGATGATCAGTATTGGCTGGAAGGGGAAACCGAGTAGGTATTTAATTCAAAACATCATTTTCTATCCCAAATCAATTATTGAACTATATTAAAATGAAATATAAAAGTAAGAGGGAGACTAGAGATAACTAGCATGTTCATAACATAAGGATGCCTACCACTGTGATAATGACTTGGCATAAGAATCTAGTTGCTTTCATTTTAAAACTCAGAAAAAAAAAAATGGTATTAACATATTGACAACAAACCAATTATTGGATAATTTCTAATTGGACTTATTCTCCAAAAAAAAAAAAAAAAAATTCTAATTGGACTTGCTTGGTTGGACTTCGGAGCTCAACATTTTAGTCCGATGTCGTTCAAATTATAAGATGGGTATATGGAAAAACAAATCCCATTAGTAAAACATAATTTTTAGAGAAAATTGTTGAACTTAATTTAGAGTTTATAAATTTCTGTTTAACACGTGAATTCTATTAATATGATATATTATAATTAAATAAAAAATGAGATAACATAATTTAATGTCAAAAAATGAATGAAAAAAAGTTATGCTAACATTGAGGATATCTGACAACAATGTCTTGGCCATCTCTCAACCACACATTCGTTTACTTTGCGGATTCGAGTTTTCAATTCGAGCTGAGATGTGACATTTTTTAAGAGCTTTCACTGTAACAGAAAAAGTTAGATGTGATATTTTCTGAGAGCTTTTTACTATAGAAACTTAAACTAAAAACTCGAATCGGTGAAATGAATGAGGCCTTAGCTGACACTATTTCTAAAATTTTGTTTAAATAAACATTGTGATGTTTATCCTTTAGCTAAGAAAACTAGACTTCCCTTGTCATCTAAGTTGTATTTCTACTATTGAGCCTTTTGAATTATAATAACAAACACGCGGTTGTCAATAGTAGGAGAAAGAAGAAGGAAGGAGCATGATGATGAATTTTTATTTTTTTTTTGCTACGAAGATGGAAACTTATTATACGGCAAATGGAATGAACTTTAAAGTTTTAATAAGAGTTTTTCTAATAAGATAAAAATAAATAAATTATTAATAATTTTTTATTTTAAACCGTTAAATTTATATTAAAAATTATATATTATACATATTTTTAAATTAATAAAATTTTAATTAAATTTAACGATTATAAATAGATTATACTAGTGAGAATGACCCAAGGAAGAAAGTCTTAGAACGCGTTTGGAACGCGTTCTAAAATGATTTTATTTTTTATATAAAAATAAAAATGAAAACGTTTTCAATCTCAGACAGAAATCATTTTTAAAAATGTGTTTAGTAGTTTTATTAAGAGATTATTTTCAGTATAAAAAAATCAATTAATGTCTCATTTTCTCTCTCTTTGCTCGAGAGATGAGAAAACAAAAATAAAAAATGAAAAACGACTTCATTTTACACTAAATTAAAAAATTATTTTCATTTTAATTTTTTATCTTTATTACGCCAAACGACGTTTTAAAAACGTTTTTTTTTTTTTTTTCTCTAAAAATGTAAAAAATAAAAACGGAATAAATTCCATCCTAAAGTTTTTGCTCCAAACACTAGAGACGGGCTAAGATTTGGTGCAACCAAACTCATTTTAACACTCTATCTTTCCCGTTCGCATCAGCAGTGCTTAGCTTGTGGTCCTTGGATTGTCCATTCCTGATAGTGCATATAAAATGGGGTGTCCTAATAAAAACCAAAAATAAATTTGTACAAATAATTATCCAGCAATCTCCAGAAGCTTCCCAAACCCCTAGTGTCAGTCTCACTAAAACCCTACGAAAACCCCTTTCCTTCATCATTCCCAACTCTTAAGCCCTCTCTCCGAATTCGCTGCCCTGCAGGCCACCATCACCATGCACAGGCTCTCCACCCGCTCTCTCTCCGCCGCCCTTCGCCACGGCGGCGCACGTTATCGGAACGCCGCCGCGGCTCCAATCTCCTCCTCCTCTCCTCTCCCCGATACGGTGCGCCTCTCCCCCATTTCTACTCTCTCGCCAATTACGCGGCTTTTATCATGTCTACTTGTTTCCATTGAGCGGTTAATTCGTTTGTTCTTGTGTTTATTACGAAATTTATGGTTTGCTTATATTTGAAATGGAGAGAATTCGACAAGACTTGCTTCTTGTTTCAGTGATCTGTGATGGTTTGTTGAAAAAGTTTGGAAATTGTTTAGTTAGCTTATTATTTGATCAAACCTAGTAGCCAAGTTTAATGTTTTTTTTTTTTTTTGAATTGGATTTGGGATTTGTTAAGATTATAGTTTATTTTGGATATCTGATGTGTTTCAATCTGTTTGGTTGTGTGTAGGTGCGAGAAAAAGATAACAAACTAAGATGTTACTCAGTATTAACTACTGGGAAGCTCAATATTACAGATTCTTTAACTCAATTAAACTTGAAAAATGGCCTGTTTTTCGGAAGCCGATACGAGTCAACTGCGGCGGCCTCCGACTCATCAGCCACACCACCAGCTGAGAGTTATGAATACCAAGCAGAGGTATGTGGGTTGAACTTCTGATTCATATATTCTTTCAAGGTTTGATGGTTTGACTGTTTGTGAAGTTTTTAATCATTTCCTTTCTCTCATCGCAGGTCAGTCGCCTTCTGGACCTCATTGTGAACAGCTTATATAGTAACAAAGAGGTGTTTCTGAGAGAGCTCATCAGGTGATTTATGTTGTTTCATGTAGTAGTAGTAGAGTGATTTATATGGTTTCAGCAAGATTTATATGGTTTCAGCAAGATTTAGATGTGTAAAATGGTCTGAATATTTTGAACTGCCTCATGACGTCTACATGGCAAAGTTAGAGTTTCCTACCTTCCAAAGATTATAGGATTTGGCAGAAGGTTTCAGTTTCAACTCGGGCTCACAAAAGTGAGTCTGGGGATACCTGGATATTTAAAACAAAAATGTCTGAATAGGCGGGCTTGAAGGGCATCCCTATGCCCATGCCTGGCTCAGAATGCATCTGAGTCGGACTATGTCGGGCATGGACAAAGATTGTGGTGTGCTTTGCTTTTGTGGCTATATGGCTAGGACTAGTGGGTGGCTCTGCACAGCTTGTTGGTTTGACCGGCAAGTCTCATTCGGCATGCCTCTTGCCACAGTATATGCTTGGCCCTCTTGGAATAAAAGAAATCATAAAGTGGGGAAAAAAAAAGGAAAAAATGTTGGTTCTTTTTTTGGGAGAAAGATCCATTTGTCTTTATATTGTTTTTCACTTTTCATTTCCTTTTGCACATGTACTTTAGGGCCCAAAACCGGCCATGACTATTTAAGCATGGCGGGCAGCATGACATTGTCTTCCGCATATCATGTTGCGCATTGGCCCATGCTAGAATCCAATAAATCTGCCAGTGCCTGAGTGGACCATGCTAAGAGCTGGTGGTGCTTGCAGAGTTATGTTGTATTTGGAACTTATTAACTGTAGGCTTGAATGAGGCCTAGGGAGGGAACAGACATGAGAGATTGTTTAATGATTTGTAGATTGTTTGGTTAAAGTTTTTTCACAGTACTGAAGTTTATTGTAGCCAGGTAGGTTATTTAAAACATCATCAAATTGATACTCCCAGAACTCACACATTTTGTACATTTGTTAGACACTAGTTCTTAGGAAGTTAATGGCTAAGAGGGGTTAAGTGAGGAGAAAGGAATTAGTTGGGTTTGGACGTAATTTCTCTGAAATTATGTTAGTGCTGATTTGTCTTCGTTTTGGCTAGGGGCAGAGTTTGTTATGCTGTGATTTTGAGAGCTTTGGGAAACTGAGATTAGGGAGAGTGGTGGTCTCTCGAATACCACCAAATTAGGAGTCCCCGGAGTACTTGAATTATCCATTCTATCCATTTCGCTTTCTTTAATTTTCTCCAGCTGGTTTTGGTTTGTATGAGCTGGTGTTGAAGTGAAATTCAATAAAACTCCTCTGTTTACATCAAATCTAGTGTTGGCTGCTTGTGTGTGTGTGTGTGCGCGCGCGCGCGTGCGAGTGTTTGGCTTTTTGGTTGAGGAAATTATCAGGTTCCTAACACATTTCTACTAGTCAAGACATTCGAATAGCGAACAAAAGACCAGGAGACTGCAGTATTTAAAGTATAGCCTCGTAGATCTTAAGTCTTTAACCTCATAAGTTACAACAAAGCTAACATTTTCCGTAAATTTCTAGGTGAGTTAATTTTTTGTCAGTGATATGTCTTTACCTTTGAATAAGTTTGAGTGAGTCGGGAAATGTTGCTTTGTTTTCCCTAGTCTGAATGTTTCCAAAAAAAAGTAGTAGTTTCATTTTAAATGCTTAGTTTTATTTATGCAGAAATCTGATCCTCTTAGTCCATGAATGTTTTTACAGTAATGCAAGTGATGCCTTGGACAAGCTGCGTTTTCTAAGTGTTACGGAGCCAGAACTTTTGAAGGATGCAGTTGATCTTGATATCCGCATCCAAACTGATAAAGACAATGGCATTGTAACTATTATGTAAGCTTTTCCCACTTCACTAACCACCTGGGTCCATGTTTTTCATGGAAAAGAAACCCTTCAATCCTTTCTTTTCCTTGCAGTGATACTGGCATTGGGATGACTCGGCAAGAACTTGTCGACTGTCTTGGAACTATTGCACAAAGTGGAACTGCAAAGTTCTTAAAAGCATTGAAGGTCTAATACATTATTGAAAGCAGTAAAATCAATGTCATATTTATGATTTGTGCTCATAACATTGTATTGTTTTACAGGATAGCAAGGATGCTGTTGGTGACAATAATTTAATTGGTCAATTTGGTGTAGGGTTCTATTCAGCATTCCTGGTTTCTGATAAAGTACGTCTGTCCTTCACTCAAAAAATGCAACTTTTTTCTTTCTTTCTTTTTTTCCGGATAAGAGTTTGTGAGGAATGGTTTTAGCCTTTAGTGAGGTACATCTTCTTGTTTGTAGGTTGTTGTTTCATCAAAGAGCCCAAAGTCTGATAAGCAATATGTATGGGAAGGAGAGGCCAATTCTAGCTCTTATACTATTCGGGAAGAGACAGATCCCGAGAAGCTAATTCCCAGAGGAACACGGCTTACTTTGTATCTCAAGGTGACTAAGACTACATCCTCTTTTTTCTTTGAGAATCTTGTGCCTTTACCTTCAGAGTAACTTATAGTTATTAGTTACTTGCTTTTTATCTGCTTTCAGCGTGATGACAAAGGTTTTGCTCACCCAGAACGGGTTGAGAAGCTTGTGAAAAACTATTCGCAGTTTGTTTCTTTCCCAATATACACATGGCAGGAAAAGGGATATACCAAGGAGGTATTATGTTGCCTCTTAAGTCCTCTTCAGATTTAAATTTGTTCTATTTTTAGGCATCATTATCATTGGCCTTCTTTCAGGTTGAGGTTGATGAGGATCCAGCTGACGCCAAAAAGGATGAACAAGATGAAAAGACTGAGGTACTTCATTCTTTGTACTGTATTCTTTTTGTGAACCTGTACCTTTTGCACTAAGTTGGGAGTACACTGTTTTTTGCAACTGATGTATTACTAAATGCAACAGAAGAAGAAGAAAACCAAGACTGTTGTTGAAAGGTACTGGGATTGGGAGCTCACTAATGAGACCCAACCAATATGGGTAAGCCTTGACATATGTTAATTTGTTTTTTTTTTCTTGGCCACCCTATCAAGGAATACTTGGGCATCATGTTATTGATATGTGCAGCTTCGCAGCCCTAAGGAGGTTTCCACTGAGGACTACAATGAATTTTACAAGAAAACGTTTAATGAGTATTTGGATCCAATAGCGTCTTCACACTTTACAACAGAGGTATACATTTTATATGTACTTAGATAAGTGCTGTTACTTCAATTGCCATGCTCTTTCGTATACTATGTAATAATACCACTCTACTGATTTTCCATCTATATGCCATTTTGTCTATCCCAAAATATATGATAATTTGCAAATAATTACATTGTATCCGACTCTCAATTTGTGTGACAAATTGTGTGGTTATGCTGCTTAATGGTGCTATTTTGTTCTGGCTTTCTAAAGTATGGATTTTGGTATTACAGGGTGAAGTTGAGTTCAGGTCCATCCTCTATGTGCCAGCTGTCTCCCCCATGGGAAAGGATGACATAGTCAACCCAAAGACGAAAAATATTAGGCTCTATGTTAAAAGGGTGTTCATTTCAGATGACTTCGATGGAGAACTGGTAGGAAGATGCTATGGTGGTTCCCTTTTATTTTAGTATTCTACATTATAAGGAGGAATGCATGGTTTAACTACAAGATAACTGATGCTTATCCTTTCTATTTTGGTTTTTAATAGTTCCCACGATATTTAAGCTTTGTCAAAGGTGTTGTCGACTCGAATGATCTTCCTCTCAATGTATCACGTGAAATTCTTCAAGAGAGTCGTATTGTAAGTAAATTAAGCAGAATCTTCTCCCTAATCAATCAATCTACAGCGTGTCAATTTTCGTGTTATTTACGTACATAGCTCTTTTGTTAAACTTGTATTCTCCTTTCTACTTGAAGGTGCGAATTATGAGGAAGCGCTTGGTGCGGAAGGCCTTTGACATGATTCTGGGAATATCATTGAGTGAGAACAAAGAAGTATGTCTTTGTTTCTTATATCTTGGTTCCTGCCTTTGCATTTATTATTTTTGGGAACAAATTGTTCAAATGAACTTTTGAGTTATCATGTGTGGCATTTTTCTCGATTTGTTAATCTTCTTCCCTGCATTATTCTCTAATTATCTGTCTGGATTCAAAATATCTGGTGATTCAGTTACAAGCGTAGTCTTGTAGCAAATTGTCTCTTCCTCGTTTAATTTCTATTTATATTCCTCAAGTTGCTTCTCTATCAAGACATTGTTGCTTTTCCCGTGTCCTTGCAACTCACCCCTTCTTTTTCTCACAGGATTATGAGAAGTTCTGGGACAATTTTGGCAAATATTTGAAATTGGGTTGCATTGAAGATCGTGAAAACCACAAACGTATTGCTCCACTACTTAGATTTTTCTCTTCCCAAAGTGATGAAGAGATGATCAGTTTGGATGAGTATGTTGAAAACATGAAACCTGAGCAGAAGGACATCTATTACATTGCCTCTGATAGTGTGACAAGTGCGAAGAGCACACCTTTCCTCGAGAAACTTCTTGAAAAGGATCTTGAAGTAGGCTTTCACCTATAAATAGTTTTCTCGTGTTCGTAGTTTGTATTCTTATTTTGATGTGGACTCGTGCATATCTCATGATTTAATCGTTTGCAGGTGTTGTTCTTGGTTGATCCTATTGATGAGGTCGCCATCCAGAACCTAAAATCATACAAGGAAAAGAATTTCGTTGACATTAGTAAGGAAGACTTAGATTTAGGTTAGTTTATTGAAACCTCAACTTGATAGTTTCAGTTCCTGACGGAAGTCGTGTCAGATGTTGGTCTTGCTTCATTTATAGTTGATTAGTTGTTATAGATGATATAACTTGAATGAATTGAAACTTCTCCAGGGGATAAGAATGAAGAAAAAGAAAAGGAGATGAAGCAAGAATTTGGTCAAACCTGTGATTGGATCAAGAAACGTTTGGGAGATAAAGTTGCCAGTGTTCAAATCTCAAATCGTCTGAGCTCATCGCCTTGTGTTCTTGTATCTGGGAGGTTTGGTTGGTCGGCCAACATGGAAAGGTACGCACCCTCCTATTGCTGATGTTAGATGTCACTTTGAAGAGATTATACGTTATGTTCAGTCTTCAGAGTCTAATTAATATTCTTGCAGGCTGATGAAGTCGCAAACTGTTGGTGATACCGCTAGCTTGGAGTATATGAGAGGCAGAAGGGTGTTTGAGATTAATCCTGAACACCCAATCATTAAAAACTTGAATGTACGGTGGACAGAAGAGACCGATGTTTTTATAAATATTTTGTGATGCCTACAGTATGTTTGCTGATATTTTTGACTTTCAATTTCAGGCTGCATTCAAGAGTAGCCCCGATGATGAAGATGCTCTGAGAGCTATTGATCTCTTGTACGACGCGGCTTTGGTTTCTAGCGGCTACACTGTGAGTAACCATCTTTCTCTCTACTTTTACTGCTGTTTTGCGTCTAGGAGTCATAGAAATTAACATTGTTGGATGCAGTTTGTTTTTGTTGCCACATTAATGTGTTTCTCTCTTTGGATCCTCTTTTTCTCCTCTTTCCTTTTTCGGTCTACTAAGATATAATATAATATCTCTTGTTGATGCAGCCTGAAAATCCAGCACAACTTGGTGGGAAGATATATGAGATGATGGGTGTTGCTCTTTCTTGGAAATGGTCAACCCCCGCAGATGTCCCGCCTCCCGAAGCGAATCCAGGCAAGCTCGGAACATTAGAAGCCGAGGTGGTTGAACCAGTTGAGGCTGGTGGTCAGAAATGAGGAGCACCGGAAAATATCTTCCAAGTCGTGGTTGCATTTTTGTTCTTTCCGTCGTTCCAAGTCGTGGTTGATTGTAGTAGAACAGAATTGTTGGCTTGGCTGGTATTTTTAGAGTAGCTTGACCAAGACCAACTCATTTTTTCTATTTTATAATCTATATTCTCGCTTTTACCAGCTAATAATTTTTAAAATTTTGTTTTTTTAAAAGCCTTCCAACTTCCGCATCTGCGTCTTTTTTTTTTTTTCAGGTAATTATTGATATTTTCAATGCTGCAAAAGGCTTAACACGAGATCTCCCACAATTGATAGGTTTATGATCCGTTCTTCTGTTCGTTCTTTTCATTTGTTTGAATATAAATTTTAATTTTTGTAAGAAGAAATAATGTAGTAAAAAGACAGAAATTTAATTGTGGTTCAAATTATGAAAAGAAAACACATGTAAGGATTTTTGAGATAAATATTATATGAATGGTCTTTCATATAATTTCCGACCCAAAAAACTGTTCAAAAAATTATTAAGTCCATTTATAAGTTATAAAAAAGAAGAATTATCAGTGTTTGAATCCATAAGTTGGATTCAAATCTAAACTGAAAAATTCGGCGGAAAAAAAATTAATCTTAGAAAGGAATAGTTAAGGTGACTTTTTCTTTGAGATCAAACTCGCTCTATTTACCCAAAAAGAAAAAATGATGCATATACTTTCACCAATTCAATGAATTTCCGAAAGCCTCCTCATATGTAGCTAGAAATACTATTATAAAGTAATCTTAAGAAAAGCTACTCACTTATATGCCGAAATTTTACCTTTGTTTCGGCTTTTAATTAGCTAAGTTCTTAATTTTAAGAATTGCATAACTAGTTTTTAATAAAAAAATTTAAAATGCTTAGAAGCGGAGAGCATTTGGGAAGAAACTAAAAAGCAAATAGGTAAAAAAAAAAAAAAAAAAAAAAAAAGGGGGGGAAAAAAAAAAAAAAAAAAAAAAAAAAAAGGGGGGGAAAAAAAAGAAAAGAAAAGGAGTAAAAGTAAGCAAAAAAAAAAAAAAGGTCAAATACAGATTAAAAAAGTAAGAAGGAAAAAAAATAGTAGAAGAGGTGTTAGTCACGTGACAACATGAGAAAAAAGAGCTTTAGTGTTAGATTAGATTATATTATTACAATAAGTTTTCTTTTATTATTTGTAAAACATTTTAAACATTTTGTTAATTTTTTAACATGATCAGTAAAAATTGTAGTCCCGTTTATTTCATCAATTTGAGTTTAAAATTTAAATTTTGTTATAGTAAAAAGTTTTAAAAAATAATCACATTTAACCTTTTTATTATAATAAAAAACTCACATATAAAATTATATCGTAACTCAAATTAAAATCTCAAATCAACGAACTAAACGAAACATGCGTTTTGCTAGGTTTTTTTTTTCAGAAACGTCTCGGAAAAGTCCTCCTAAAGCGGCGCGTAGACGCTTACAAGTTTTTTTTTTCAAAAAAAAAAAAGAAAAAGAAAAAGAAAAAGAAAAAAAAAATAGTAGCAAAGAAAAGAAAACGTCTAAAAGTCAAAAGTAAAACGCCTGGCAAATGACCACCTTGACCCGCTAAGCGCCCACGACCATGACCGGCTCAGCCGGTGACCTGGCGCTTTGAAAATGTAGGTGGCGGCACACGGAGTCACGACTACGGTGGACTTTAACCGTTTGAGGGGTTTTGCAGGTAAACTCTTCGGTCCCGTGTTCCAAGGGCAAAATAGGAATAGTATCAGCAAAAGACAACAAAATAAACATAAGTTCCCATATATATCTGTATTAGATTTTGAAATTCCATTTTTTGTTCCTTTGAATCGATCTACTCCTCTGGTGAGTTAGTTCTCTCTCTTTCTTGTTTTTTTTTTTTTTTTCTTTTCTGGTTTCTGTTTGGTTGGTGAGAAAACGGCGGAAATTGTTTGGTGATTCTTTTAGTTTCGTTGTCTTTACTGATTTGGTTTCAAATTTGGTAAAATAGAGCTTGACCGCGGCGAGTGAAAGTTGTTTTTGTGCCCTTGAGGGTTTTATATGTTGAGAATTTTGAGAATCGAAAGTTTGGGTTTGTATTTTCTCGGTAACCAAACAAGTTGCTAGATTTTCTGACCAATGAGCTGGTTGAGACTTGCCTTTTCAGCTTTGAGATCTGCTGGTTCGAGCTGTGTTTGATTATCTTTTTTGCAGCTTTACTTTGTTTGTTGCAAATTTCTTGTGGTTTTTTCGTTTCCGTCTTTTATCTTTTTGTGCCTATTACTCATAGTTGACTTTATGTCGTTATGCTGGCCTAGGTTCATCGGATTAGTCTTTATAAAATTCTTTGAGCTGTAATTTTGACATGGACATGATTATGAGTTAACTAATGGAGAGATGGATCTTTCTATGAATGGCTCTCTTTTGTTTACTATTTTCATTTATTCATTTCGGAATTGTTTGTTTGGAGAAACGGTGAATTTGATGCAAATTTGTACCGTGTTTAATAGAAACGGTAGGAGACTGGAAGCTAAAGTTTATGCGTTGTGTTGACTTTTGTTAAATGGAGCTGATTTGTCATCTGCTCTTATGTGTCTGATGTGATCTCAGTATGTTAATTTCTATGACTTTCTTTTAATGCACGTTTATGCATATTTTCTTCGTGCTCGGTGCGTGGGAGCTGGTGTTTACATGGTCTACTACTCGATATGCATTTTGGCGTGCATTGAATTTCCTCTCTTAAAAGAAAAAAGTTCAGATGTTATTGATAATAGTTGTACTTACCTTTCACAATGTTTTTTTGATGTAGTTTCGGAATAGCATAACTGGCTTATGGGTACATCATCTGGCTCTGATATCCACCACCAGCCATCATCGAAAATGCTGCCCCCAAGACAGCAGCCACGCGCTGGGGGATTGCAAACCTCTCTGTCGCTTGTTTCTTCTGATGCTCGACTATCCCCTGAGGAACCCAGATCAAACTCTGATCACATTCGTGAGTCCCCTACTGAGAGTGCTAGTTCCCGTGACACTTGGCCTACTGCCGATGCTGCCATGGCAAAGAAGATGGAAAATGGAAAAGCGGACAATGATTGCCCTGAGCAGTCAGTTGTTCGCCGCGTTTCTAGTGCCGATAAGATATCTCTTAGGGACATAGCAAGAGAAAGGGTTGAAATTATCTCCGAAAAGATGCATCGTCTCCCTGACGAGTTTCTGGAAGAAGTAAAGAACAGCCTCCGAGTTATCCTTGATGGGAATGGTGGTTCACAGCATCGGGAGGAATTTTTTATTTTGCAGAGGCTTGTTCAGAGTAAGACTGATTTAACAGCTAAGACATTGATTAGAGCACACAGGGTACAGCTTGAAATCCTGGTTGCAATAAACACTGGGATTCTGGCATTCTTGCATCCAAACGTCAGTCTGTCTCAGACCTCCCTCATTGAAATTTTTGTTTATAAAAGATGCAGAAACATAGCGTGCCAAAACCAGCTCCCAGCTGATGATTGTACTTGTGAGATTTGCTCCAACAGAAATGGCTTTTGCAATCTTTGCATGTGTGTAATTTGCAACAAGTTTGATTTCGAAGTGAATACTTGTCGCTGGGTTGGTTGTGATTTGTGTTCTCATTGGACCCACACGGACTGCGCTATTCGTGATGGACAAATATGTATGGGTCCTGTTAAAAGTGGAACAGGCCCAACTGAAATGCTTTTCCGGTGCCGAGCTTGTAATCGGACATCAGAGCTGCTTGGTTGGGTAAAAGATGTCTTCCAACACTGTGCACCTGCTTGGGAGCGGGATGCTCTGATGAGAGAACTCGACTTTGTGAGTAGAATATTTCATGGTAGTGAGGACCCCAGAGGGCAGAAACTTTTCTGGAAGTGTGAGGATCTGAAAGAAAAACTGAAGAGTGGTCTTTTAGAGTCAACAGCGGCTTGCCGAGCAATATTGGCATTTTTCCAAGGTACACATTATTTTTGAACTATTTATTCCACATGAAAGACTCCCTGGATCTTCCAATAAAATTTTTTCCTATATCAAAGTCTATATTAGTCTCCCCACATGCTGACTTGTGTTTTTCCTCTATGCGGTTGATTGAATCTGCTGCGTGGTGTGTTGTTATTGTCTCAACTAACTATGTAGCCACTAAAAGAGTATTTTTCCTATATTTCAGTATAGCTTTTATTGTCCCCCACGCATTATGCTGTCAATACCATTAATCCAATGGTCTTTAGATGGCCTGACTTCATGTGGGATTTATGGTTTGCCGTTAGACATGTTTCCAAATTAGCGTGGATTTTAAGGAATAAGCATATTGAAGTGTCAGATAAAAAGTAGTAGACTTGGTATGAATTGTGAAAACAATGCACAAAATGTACAAATAAACCGAGTAAGGGAGTGAAAGACGCGTAATGAAGCACTTCTTGCGTTAATGGTGTTTATTTATGATATCTAGCTTTGTTAGTTTTTCATATTCTACTTGTATAGCCTTTTTTGTTTTTGTTTTTGTTTTTATTTTTTGAGTTTGGTGTGCATGGGTGCTGCATTTGTGGAAACAAATATTCGTTTCTTCTTATTAAATTAATGTCTTTAATGTAGAGCTTGAGGTGGACTCCCCAAAGAGCCTGGAAAATGGAGAGGGTGGACGGTTGATAGCACCTCGGGAAGCTTGCAATCGAATTGCCGAAGTGGTGCAGGAGGCCATAAGGAAGATGGAAATGGTAGCTGATGAGAAGATGAGAATGTACAAGAAAGCGCGTTTGGCCATTGAGGCTTGTGACCGTGAACTCCAGGACAAGGCCAAGGAAGTGTCGGACCTGAAGCTGGAGATGCAAAAAAAGAAGCTACAAGTTGAAGAGCTAGAGAAAATTGTAAGGCTTAAACATGCTGAAGCTGATATGTTCCAGCTCAAGGCAAACGAGGCAAAGCGCGAGGCTGAGAGGCTCCAAAGGATTGCTCTTGCAAAGTCGGACAAATCAGAGGAAGAATATGCTAGCAGTTACCTCAAACAGCGTCTGAGTGAGGCTGAAGCTGAGAAGCAGTATCTGTTTGAGAAGATCAAGCTTCAAGAGAGCTCGCGGGCATCGCAAAGCAGCGGGGGCGGTGGCGGCGACCCTTCATCGATTCTGATGTATTCGAAAATCAACGATCTTCTATACAGTACCCCTTCTAAGACAGACTGCCCCTCCAATGAACGCCATCCATTCAGGAAGAATCCCTGAGCCGTATTTTTCTAGTGTCGTATGTATTTTGATTTATTTAACTGTAATGTTTGTGGATGTTACTTGAGTGTGAAACTAATGTCAATGAATTGTGATCGCGATGTATGTCGAATATTGTCTGTCTCTGACTTCTAGTAAAACCAATTTGGGAATCCTGGATTAGTAATTTTGCGCTAGATAAAAGTGCTTATGGATTTGCATGGATTTTTTTTTTTCTTCATTCAACTGGCTGGAAGGAGAAGCTCTTTTTTTATTTGACGGCTAGGATTAATGATAGAAGAATTATTCAGATATAATCAAGGCATTTTTTGAGGGAAGAAAAAAAGAAGGATCCAATAGAACAAATCCTGATCAAGTAAAATTGCAATTTGAGCGTTCACACTAAGGTTCATTTATTTTATCAATTTGAGTTTTATTACAGTAAAAAATTTTCAGAAATAGTCACATTAATTTTTTTATTACAGTAAAAAATTTTCACATAAAATCACATTTCAACTAGAATCAGTGAACTAAATGAACTACATGTTTAATATGCATCTAATGTGGGATTCTCTGTTGATGCATATTTATATGGCAATCAGACAAACAAAATAATAATAATATTAACAATCAGTTATAAGACGATTGTTACTTTCATTAAAGTGGAAAAATAAAAGCCACTAATTGAGCTCAATTTTCTCGTTACGCATGGATTATTTTCCTTTCGCTGATCTAAAATTGAAGACAAACAAAAGAAGGATAGAATATTCTAGTTGTCGACTTTTTAAGGTAAATGTAGGAGGTTTTTCGATTTTTTTTTTTTTTTTGGCTGAAGAGCACTATTGAACATCTTTAACCAAGTTGTACATAAGCCTTGTTTTCAGTCTTTCGAATTCTGTATAAAAACCATACATATGTACATTTCTTTTTTTTTTTTTTGTGATAAGCACATTACTTTATTTACAATTAGTACTAATTATTATTATTACTATTTGATAAGTGCATAACTAATCCTTTGTACATTAGGGGTATGTTTACTTTGCATAAAGGGAAATGAGAAGGAGTGATTTTTTTTTTCCATTTAATAATGTGTTTACTTACAAAATTAGTAATAGAAATTTAGTGAGTCCAATGCAATATAAAGAATGAGAAAAAGAAATACCAATTCTTGCACCTCTTTTAGTATTAATTCTTTGTCAAAGAGAATGAATGCTAAATTTACTTATATATCCTTAATGAATTACTATACATTCAATACTTATTTAATTATGTAAACGGACATTTTAGTAATTACATTCATAACATTACTATTCCTAATTTTAATAAACATAAGAAAGAAAACGGGGTTGTTTTCTATTACACTATCTAATAGTCATGAATGATGCTCAATCCTATTACTTTACTTTTGTTTTTAATTTTATAATTTTTCTCATTACATTCCTTTACGGTTTAATAAACACGTCCTAAATACTCTTTAAGCCAATTCAATTCTGTAGATTATTCCAATATAACAGTTTGAATAGATTTACGTGTGCTATTTGAGAATCTGAGAATGTTGAGAAAATTTAGGACTGTGTTCTAATAGTGCATGTGCGCCAATGTCATTCTCTGATTCATGAATTAAAATCATGATATTAGAATCATTTTCAATTTACATGTATTTTTTATGAGAGAAAATATTGTAACGAACTATGAATCATGATTCGAATCAGGGTACGAATCCCCTTACCAAATACACCATAAAAATGATAAGTTATAAAGAGCGGCGGAGACTTTTTGTTAGCATAATTAATTTTTTATTTTTTATTTTTCTCTGAAGAGATATTTCATTAAAGCTAAAACAGCCAGGAAGCAAAGGCCTTTTTTTTGGGCTAAGAAAAGATTTCATTAAATAAATGCAAACAGCCAGGAACCAAAAGATCAATTGTTCATTGATTTATTTGTCCATTTATTCATTCATTTATTTGTCCACTTATTCATTTATTTTGTGATGACCAACAACCGAACACAAGCGATGGAATGTTTGGTATGTGGATAAGACGTTTGAGGTTACAATTGGTATATTTATCTTCTCTTCCCTTCTGCAATTTTTTTTCTTTTTTCCTCTCAAATTCTGCCTTCATTATAGTAGCAAAGGTTTAAAAGGGGAGAAAGCATTATCCAAAAAAAAAAAAAAAAAAAAAAAAAAAAAAAAAAAAAAAAAAAAAAGGAAAAAAAGGGATACATAAAGTTTTCTTCTATGTGTTTAGAAATGTACTTCATTGCCAAGAGAATTAAAAAAAAAAAACAAAAAAAAAACAAAAAAAAAAAAAAACCAAGGTGAGAAACTTGGGATTGTATAATTATAGCAAAAATGTGGATTGGTTTACCAATTATTCCATGTCACTCTCAAAATCGAAGGGAAATCAGGGATCAAATTAAATGAGCAAATTGGAAACTTCTGAGATGTTTGGGATGGAGACTTTTCCTATGCTTTACTCCATAAACGTCTTAATTGCTGACCCCAGCCAATTCCAAAACCCTTTCTCCCACCAATCTGAAAATATTTATGTTGCTGGTACAATCTATATCAAAAGTTAAAGAAATTACTACTTTCATTGATTCGATTGTGATTCCTCAATGCCTATATTCAGAACAAATAGTTGGGACCATCAAAAGTATTGAAAATTACGAGTTTTTCTTTTATATAAAATAAAGTTCATTATTTTTTTATTTATTTGCAATTATTATTATTATTATTATTATTATTATTATTTTGAAATTGGGCCATTTGCAATTGAGTGCATACTATATATATCGTTACTAAGTAGAAAACAAACGATAAAATTTGTAGTTGGGGCCATCAAAACTATTGAAAACTACAAGTTTTTCTTATATATAAAAAAAATTGATTATTTATTATTTATTTTGTAAATTGCAATTTTTTCTTTTTTGAAATTGGCCATTTGCATTTTTTGTTTTGTTTTGCTCAATGGGCAGTTTGCATTTGACTGCAAACTATATATGGTTACCTTTTTTTTTTTTTTTGACAAGACTATATATGGTTACAAAGTAGTACAACAAAACAAATGATAAAATTTATTTAAAGTCTAAAGACTACAATTTTGACCAAAGAAATGAATTGGTTTGTTTCATGCATAACTTCATAGACATAAGGACACAACAGAGTTCAAGAACGACGACACAAAATTTTTTAAAATAAGGGTAACTTGGAATTTTGACGTTGAATTTAATTTACTATCATTTAGTTTGGGAGGGGACAAACAGAAAATGAAAAGAAAGCAGTTCGTACTGATCCTCCGAAGACTTGGTTTTAATTTCTTCCTTCTTTTTTTTTATTTTTTATTTTTTGAAAATTTGGCATAGAAAGAAGCAATAACTACAGTTGAAATTGATTGAGCAAAACAAAAGATTGAATCTTTCGGTGCAAAGATGTTACAATGCTCTAACTTAGTACTATTTTGGCTTCATGCATGCCTTGGAAGTAAACGTTCAGGTATATGTGCTTTATATATATATGTATGTATATATGCAACACACACATATATGCATTACTCTTTTCTTTAGTAAAGATATTTATGGTTGATGATCAAACCAATGTTAGGAAATAAAGTGCGTTATGAGGTCCTCGTCAATGCCAAATAGTAGTTGAAACCAAATGAATTTTTAAGGAAAACTATTAGGTTTCTCATGGTTTGTCCTTACTCCCATTAAATTGTCATCTTCTGGTGGGTACTATGGCCTCGTTCACTTCGCTGATTCGAGTTTAGAATTCGAGTTGAGATGTGATTTTATGTGAGAGCTTTATACTGTAGCAAAAAAGTTAGATGTGATTGTTTGTGAGAACTTTTTACTGTAGAAAAACTCAAATTCTAAACTCGAATCAACGAAATGAACGGGGCCTATATATACAAGTTATTGATATAATTTCTGCCTTATGAAAAGGATACAAAGTAAGAGTTATGACATCATTATTTGTCTTTCATTTTCTCAAGGGTAATCTTTTCTCTTTCTTGCTAACTAAGTAGCTTTTCATATTAATCATTTTAGTCTTCAAAATTGTTGATTTATATGTCTTGAGGATTTTGGTGTCGTTAATCTATAGATTATTGGTATTCTGACAGTTTAGTTTTTAAATAATGTTTTTTTTAATAAATTAGTTCTTGAACTTAAATTCTTGGTAGTATTGATAATAGATATTAAAATTTTGTAAAAGCAATCACATGCTTATTGTGTGATATTGAAATTTTATAAGTAACAATAATAATGATAATAGTAACAACAACACATATATAAAGTGCAAAATGTGATCTTCAATATCCTGAATACGTGATTATTTATATTAAATTTTAATTTTTTAAGTGACAAGTAACTGAGTAATGTATATGTTAAAGGTTAAAAACCGATTGTCACTCTCAGTGCTAGGAACCGTCAAAAGTATTAACTACGGAAACTAAATATTGTTGGTGCTGCTTTTTAAACATCAATTTCATTCGTTGCTCCATCTCCACCGCCCTTCGAGTTGCTGCGCTTTTAGCGAGCGCCAAGGGTTGGCTTGCAAAATACACAGCGATGCTCAAATCAGACAAACAATTAGGGAAATATTTTGGGAGAGTAACAGTAAAAGCAGTGAAAAGAAGTTTGCCTCATGAGAGGTTTATCATTCTATTTGATGAATTGTAAGTGTTATGATAAGATGAATATTCATTTAGGTCTCGTTCATTTCACCGATTCGAATTTAGAATTCGAGTTTTATTACAGTAAAAAGCTCTCAGAAACAGTCACATCTAACTTTTTTGCTATAGTAAAAAGCTCGCACATAAAATGACATCTCAATTCAAATTAAAAACTCGAATCAGCGAACTAAACGTGCTCTGATCATGATCATCAACATTCTCTTAAGATTAGAATTTCTTAGAGCATTGTTTTTTTAGAAGGTTCTAAAAAAAATTTCTCCCCTAAACACGTGCATTGTCCCTATCAATTTCGCTATTACTTTGTGTCTTATTTAGATTAGTTGTCCTAACAAGGAGGTACGAGTCAGTTTTTTAGAAATTCTCCTTTCATTATTTTCCCGCCTTGTTCTCAACCCCTGGCGTACTTCATCTCGATCATGATGCATTGGAGTTCCTTTGCGGTCTTAATTGAGTTGGGATCGAGATGTAGGGCCCATTTAGTTCGCTGATTTGAGTTGAGA